TGTCATTAGCACCTCTAGTAATATATTTACTGAGAAAAATAGTGACGTGTTCAATACTTATTTTACCCGCTGTACTTGTTAGAAGTGAAGAAAGAGGAAATTGCCAACTTCCTGTTGGTATCAACTTCAGTCATTGTCTAACACAAACTTTACAATGGATGCTAATCACTACACTCTAAATCCTGCAATATCTAAAACATGACTGGACTGTMACAAATTTGAAAAATCTCATTCAGTGTGAAGGTAATCATCATGTTAAGCTCCCATTGCTCAGTAAATAAAATATTTTAATTGTTGTTGCTGTTTTTTTGTATTCCTGAGACCCTCCTGCCCCCTCACCATACATCCACACCTGTACACCACCATCAGTGTGCAGCTTTGAGCTAAAAGACCACACCATGCTAGCATCATGCTACCACAGGTATCCTGTCTGCTCCAGGTTGTTGCAGAATTTTAATAAGTCAATATGTTAGGTTCCTGAGCCTCCACCATCAGCAGGGCTCTCAAGTCTCACYCATTGACAGTAAGACACACACATTTCAYGACATGCACARGCCACYCATTGCATTTCTCATGCTAAAACACACACGCACGAATGCACACACACTTTTTGAAAGCGAACGAATTGAGCAGCTCAATGTTTATCCCTCTGGCTGGACAGACCCGTTCGGATGAACATCTCACTTTGCCTAAAAAGATCCATCTCCACATATGAGACGAGACCCCAACTCAGACCAAACCTTTCCACCTGTTGTGCACATGAATTATGTTTTTATCAMAGTTTAAAAACTCTGTTCTCATAAGGARACGCTGCACGTGCTGCACATTAACTGCAAACAGCTGGATCAGCGTCAGAMCCATGTTAAATAAASGGATAACCTGGCTYTTTTACAGCAGGGCTGCAGGTCTGATTTTWTAACAAAGACCTCACATGATGTTAGTGCTTGGAGGAAGTTGACTTTTAATAAGGGCAGATATGCGATTTTTTTCCTTCTTTTTGCCCCTTTTTCATTCAAAAATTGATTTACTTTGATGTTTTAATGGTCTTTGTTGGTTTTAAAAATAAAATGAACGAACGAACTAATATATGATATTTATAAATAT